ATTCCATGAGGATAATTTTTAAAACCAAACAATAAAAACTCCTTACTTATATATAAAATTTCTTAATCAGATCATTTTTTCTAAACTGTTAAAAACACGCGCACACACACACACACACACACACACACACACACACACAACACAATACTAAGGCAATGTTTGGGTAAATGGGCAAACCAGTGAAAGGGCTGTCTCTACACATGACCACCTTCACTGGACACCAATTGCAAGTTCAGGGAGTTCCCCAACACCTTTTTCGTGTTTAATAATAAGGTGGAAAGACTTACAGAACCCACTGAAAGGTGTTCTAGTCACAGTTATCATTTATTACAGGGAAAGGCTACAGATAAAGATCAGCCAAAAGAAAAAACAAAAAACGCTTAAGGCAGGGTCGGGAGGTTTCAAATGTGAAGCTTCCACTCGCCTCTCTCTGTGGAGTCAGGGAGCATTACCCCACCCACCTTGCTGTGTGACGATACTCCATGTGTCCAGCACGGAGTGCATGAAGCCTCCGCTCCACATTTCCTCGCTCAGGGTTCAGGCGGCTGGAGCCAGCACCCTCTGTCCCTCCGCCATGGCAAGCAAGGTGTGCAATGAATCATACACTGGCTGTTCAGGCAGAGGTGACACACATTGCTTCTCACATTTCATTGGCCCAGGCAAGTTTGATAGTCACATCTAATTTGGGGTAGGGAAGGGAAGAACCATTTCACTGTGTCCAGAAAGAGAACTGATCTTAGGAGCCTTAGTTACTATCCCAAAGCATTTATCTCTAAAAACAAGTAGACTCACATAAAAGACTTATTGCTACTGTTTTTCCTCCTGATTGTCCCCCCACTAATGAAGACATGAGAATTTGCTCGTGGAGTCCTGGAAATAATGCTGTTAGCCCAGCTCTTCTCATTCTCCCGTCCACTTTCAGACCAGGGTCTATGAATTTATTTCAACAGTTTGTTTAGGGCTATTGGGATCTCTTGAGTCCTGATATAAAGAGGAAGAAAGTTGGCCTATTTCTGTGTATGCACTTCATCCCTCTTCCTATGAAAAGTCCCATCTCCCTAGCTACACAGTAGTTGCTGATTGCTGGTATATTGGGATATTCCACCACTCTATGCCTTTGATGATATGGTTCCTTTAAAGAAATGTCCTGCCCCTCTGCTGTTCAATAGGTCACACAGACTCATTTATTCTTGAGAACTGAACTCAAATTTGTCTTTCTGTAATTTTTCTTCTCTATCTGTGAATTTTCTGTAAACCTCTGTTATCACTGTGTTCTTTAATTGATTACCCATTTGTGCCTTCTATTGAAGTTTTTAGGCTAGAAATGTTGTCTTTTTTCAACTTGATATCACCAGCATATTACTGGGCATTGACTAACTTAAAATATCTGTTGAATTGAAGATTGGGGAGATACTGAATCTCTAGGGTTAACAGTAGAGAGAAGTAAAGTCATACTTAACCAGTTATAAAGGTTCCTCTTAGGAAAAAACAATCTCCTTTCAACTAAATTATATCCACCATTAAAGATTGACCTTATGGTTCATGTAATGACTCAATATATTTAATTATAATGGAAGGATTTTAAATTTTTTTAATTATGCTTAGTTTTCTGCTTAATTTATTTCTGCATTATATTTAGAGTCCTATGGCCTAGACTAGCTGTAGTTGATTCCAAGGAGACTGGATGGTTTGAGGAGATGGATGAGAACTGTGGACTGAGGGCTGGGCACTGCAGTGGGGCAATGCCCAACACATCCCCCTGAAAAGGAAGGAACACTCTGTTTGTTTACTTTTTTTAAACCCTAGGGAAAGTATTGCACACCATTTTCTTCAGGTATATTTTGTAAGATCTTGTGTCTCCTTCAAAGCTTTCTTTGGCCCTGACCAGTTTGGCTCAGTGGATAGAGCGTCGGCCTGCGGACTGAGGGGTCCCGGGTTCGATTCCGGTCAAGGGTATGTACCTTGGTTGCGGGCACATACCCAGTAGGTAGTGTGCAGGAGGCAGCTGAATCGATGTTTCTCTCTCATCAATGTTTCTGACTCTCTATCCCTCTCCCTTCCTCTCTGTAAAAATCAATAAAAAATATATATATTTAAAAAAAGCTTTCTTTGATTTGATACATGTGGTACACAGGGATGGAGGAAAGGGGAAATGGAGAGGGAGAAAAAATAAAAATGTATTTGAAATCATTTGTTTTGAAGTGACCTGCTTTCTCAACCCTAGCAGCATGGACCATGTGGATTTTTGGGTTCTGTACTGGTGGCTTTTCAGGAGAATGTGCAGTAAATTGCTGGTTTGGAAAGGCGGTAGGACGTAAAGATCTCCAAGAGGGTAGCCTCCCAACTTGGCATATCACCAGGTGAAGTGCCAAAGGAAATCGAACTTAAGGGAGTTTGCCAATCCCAGTTTGCACTTGATGTTCCAGCATAATTATTAATAGTGCCCTATTGGATTCTGAGTGTCCTGGTCTGGAGCAGTCACCCTGGTTTTAGGTCATGCAGAGTGGAGAATATTGGTGTGATGAATGGGAAGGAACAAAACTCCAGAGTGAAGCGGACTCAAGGGAGAATTATTGTCTGAGGGGAAATTCTGCTCAGGGTTTTCCTTAAAAGGCTTCTTGTAGAGCTTTCCGAAATGCCTTGCAGACTTTATTCTGACGCACTTTTCATCATCAGTTTATTTTTCTTTGGTGCCACTTTTATGGGGCCAATGTGCCACGGTGTGGCCTGAATTTGTTATAGACTCATGGGCAGCGGTGGTGGTGTGTGTGTGTGTGTGTGTGTGTGTGTGTGTGTGTGATTCAAGCCTAGACAGACTGGCTTGTGAGTGGGGTGATAAGAATAGAGAAGCACATACCAGTGGACCAAACTTCCTGTGTACACGCCGTTGAATGCTGCGTTTCACTCTCTGAAATAGCATTCATCTTCGGGCTGGGATCATTTATTCCTTCGGGAATTAACCAAGAGCACTGGCAGCAAAAGAAACTATTTTGGGAGGGAGTTGTGGGAGGAACTTTGCTGTATTATAGGCCAGGCAGAAGTACCCTTTATGCTTTCGAAGGCCACATGTCCTGAGAGCCCTGATAAATGGAAATTGACAATTTCCAAAAAATCCCAACTGTAATGTCCAGGCTCATATATACACTCTATAATCTCTCTACATCATAGATGCTTCAACTTAATTTACCTAAAGGGTAGAAAAAACACTTTTCTTTGGAGATTAGCCTCTAGGGTAGATGCTATTGAGAAGAGTAAAATGTAACATCTCATTCCTGTCCCCTTCCTCACACATCCCCCCTTGCAGGTTCTTTTTGCATATTCCGGATGGTTGGAGAGGTTTAAAATAAGGCAATGAATGCTGAGTCCACCTCCTCCCAACCCTCCCCATAGAGCTGAGGTGGGTAGGGCTTGGCAGCTGGTGGCAGCTGTGGAGATAAATAAGGACCGGGCTCCGGGATGGACAGGGCACAGCGCTCCCGGGATGCGGGTGTGTGGCTCTGAGTGCCTGCAGTGGGAAGAGGCCATGAGGACGGAGCTGCAGCTGGAGCCCAGAAGTTCAGACAGTGAAAGGGAGGTGGGGGCTTATAGCAACCAGTTTAATAGTCCTTTTGATCAAGCTATTGCATTTGGGGGGTTGGGGGCGTGTTTAGAAGCCAGATAAAAGTCAGATACAACTCAAATGACTTCTATTTTGTCATTTAATGAATGTATTTGATGGAAACCAGGGAATTATGTTGCTCTGTACCTACTTGACTTTTCTACTTGACACTCCTTTGACTAATAAAAAGCAAACTGCCTTCGGGATTTTGTCCTTATAGATTTGCTGCAATTAGAAATTGAAAATAGCAGCCCAGTGCTATTTAAAAGTTTTCTATTTTGTAACTGACGACCGGTTTAGAAAATGCTTTTCTCTAGAAGGCTTTGAATTCTCTCTTCAGTGTGGTAGATTTAATCACAACAGATGTTTTTTGTGACTTTATTTTTTTTCTTTCCCCTTAGACATTAAAATTAAGGTGAAGATGTTGAGATTCCCCAATCCAAACAGTGCTGTCTAGGCTTATGATAAGCATTTTGTAAATTATATCCTGTTGTTCGTGAATATTTAGTAAATTTATTTAAAGTCAAGAATCATATCTATCCACTTGTTTTGCATGGGAAACGAGGGGGGTGTCAATTAGTGGTACCATTATAGACATCAATGGCCTATATATTAATTTTTAAAAAACTAATGAACAATCATCTTATTTTCCAGTTAAATGAACAAAGATTTAATGATCTCAGAATCAGACTACATTGTTGTCTTTCTGTCTGGACATGACATCAAATAGTCTTCATTTTCATGCAACATTCCCACCTTTTTATCATTTCAATTACTCATGTGAGAAATTGGTGGAAAATACCTTCACATGGTGATGAAACATAAAAAGGAGCTGAAATTTTTGAATCATTTCAAGAAATAAAATGATGACCTAGATATGCCTATTAAATTAAAAATTTCTTACATTTACATTTTTCTTTTTGTGTGTCTAACAGTAGAATGATATTTCTATAGGAAGTTAGAAAATTTATTTTACGGACAAATACTAAATCTGTAGTGATGAAAGAGCTAGATATTGTTGAAGGTAGATAGGTACAGGGAGTGAGGGGGGTGAAGATTTTTTAAAACAGAGATTTAAAAACCCTTTCAAGTGTTTGGAAAATTGTTAAATCAAGAAAAGGCTTACTGATTGCTTCTATGGGCTAGGACCAGCACTGGTATGTACAGGTAAAGGGGACAGCCCAGAATATAGGTTGGGAGGAATATCAGACATTGTTAACCTTCGTGTCATCTAGATCCTTATATGTGTCCATCAGAGAAGATGGAAATCATCCCCAGCCAAGTGTCTGTGGGCTCATGTGTGGGACAAAATCACCAGTGGTCCCAGCCTCTTCATTCTTTCTATTTGGAGATGTCTCCGTTCTCACAGACGCACTGACCTTCTCTTCCCCTCATGTTTTAGGAGAGACAGCGTCTGGAGACCATCCTCAGCCTCTGTGCTGAGTACACGAAGCCTGACAGTCGCTTGTCCCTTGGCACCACCGTGGCAGATGTGCAGAAAATCAATAAGGAGCTTGAGAAACTGCAGATCTCTGATGAGGAATCTGTGTTTGAAGAAGCCCTGGTGAACCCCGATGTCAGATACAGGTGCCACCAGAAAGGCGCTGGCCACGAGGCGGACGTGGCAGTCTTCGGGAGCCTGAGTCAGAGCAGTGCCAGCTTCCTTTCCCCCAGGAGCGCCATGAACGAGGAACTGCTCAGGGACCTCGCCAGGACTCCCCCACCGCCCCCCTCTGCCTTTCTGAAAGCTTCCAACGAGTCCTCTTACCTAAGTATCCTGCCAAAGGTAAAGGAGACAGAGCACAGAGACTGGGATTGAGGGCCCAGGACTGGGCATCTGCATTGGCGTAGAGCAGTGATGGCGAACCTTTTGAGCTCGGCGTGTCAGCATTTTGAAAAACCCTAACTTAACTCTGGTGCCGTGTCACATATAGAAATTTTTTGATATTTGCAACCATAGTAAAACAAAGACATATTTTTGATATTTATTTTATATATTTAAATGCCATTTAACAAAGAAAAATCAACCAAAAAAATGAGTTCGCGTGTCACCTCTGACACGCATGTCACAGGTTCGCCATCACTGGCGTAGAGACTAGAGGCTCTATCATGCTTGTTTGCTAAATGTGTTTAGTGAAGCTTCAGTTTAAGAGGTATTAGCAAGGTGTAGCAAATTAGTGTTTATTATAAAGCAGTAAACTTGCACTGTAAAAAATATAGCAGCTCAGAAAAGCGGAAAGGTCTCTCTCCATTTTGTCCCTTCTGAGTTGTACACCTGAGAGATAAACACAAAGTGTTTTACATGCTTTCCTAATATTTCTGTGCATCCACGGCCATATATTACAGGCATAGACATATACATAGTGTTCTGCATTTTTCCCCTCCCTACATGTCTTGAGCATCTTTGCATATTAGTATACACAGCTTTACCTCATTCATTTCAATGGCTGACTAGTGTTCTATGTTTGGGGATACTATTTAAGTTGTTTCCAATTTTTGACTAGTAAAATCTACATGCAGCAAATTTTCTAGGATATATATATTGTGCAAATATTATCTCTGAGATCGCTTACTAAAAGTGGAACACTAGGTAAACGAGCTTGTATATTTTTTATTTTAATCAATATTTCCAAATTGTACTCTCAAAGGAGTTACACTTTCCACAGTTTATTTTATGAGAACAGCTGGTTCTCCATACACTTCGTAAGGCTGTTTATTATCAGAATTTCTTAATTTGCTAAGCTAATAGGTGTAATTAGCTTGTCTTTAATATGCATGAAAGTGGGCATATTTTTACTGTTTTCGTTGCTAATTTGTATTTAAATACATTTATTTATGATCTTCACCCAATTTTTGGAAAATGCCTTGTTTTTACCGAGTAATAACTATTTTGGTAATGAAATTAGTCTTTTATCATGAATGGTAACTTTGACTTTTGGCTTTTTTGTGAAAGTTTTTGGACATATAAAAGTTTAAGATTTATATTTCATCATAGTTATTATTAAGTTTTCTGGTCGTTTGCTGATTTTAAAATGTCTTTCAAATTTGAGGATTTTTAAAATGGAGTTCAAGGAAAAATTTTTGGTGCTATTTTTTCACACAGGTTAAGAATTTTTTTCTATAAAATTTAAAAAAATTCTCCTACCTGTTCTCTAGAAAGGATTTAAGAGAGCACTTTATAATAAAATATATTAGAAGATAAGTATTTTATTATAATAAAATTAGAACACCAAGATAGTAAAAAACAGGAAAAAGAGTCTGGGAAAGCAAGTACCATAATCAAAAGAATTTACTTATTTAAGAATAAATAGGACTAGTTAACTTATTTATTTAATTAGCTCTGATCACTAAGTTAGACTCAGATTCTTGGCAGTCATGGCCAAAGAATCTATATACTAAAAGGCTAATATGCTAATAGACTGAATGGCAGAATGACTGGTTGTTTTGATGCACACTGACCACCAGGGGGCAGACGCTCAATGCAGGACACTTCTGGTGGTCAGTGTGCTCCCACAAAGGGAGTGCTGCTCAGCCAGAAGCCCAGAAGCCGGGCTCATGCTGGCAAGCGCAGTGGTGGCAGGAGCCTCTCCCGCATCCGTGGCAGTGCTAAAGATGTCCAACTGACGGCTTAGGCCCAGTTGGACAAACCCCTGAGGGCTCCTGGACTGTGAGAGGGCACAGGCCAGCTTGAGGGACCCCCACTTCCTCGAGTGCACAAATTTCATGCACCAGGCCTCTAGTCAAATATAAAAAAGATACGTTAGTTATTTTTGTTGTTGTTGTTATAAGAGAAGGACACTTACTGATTCTTTACAAGAAATATGTCATCATGGTACTAAATTCTGGAGGTAATTTATCACATTGAGTACTATTCAGGAGAGTTTATGCATTTGTTTTTATTTTTGTTTGTTTGGCTGCAACAAGATTTTTCTTGTTAAAAAAGATGAATGCTCCTGGTCAGAAGTCACTTACCTTGAGTTCTCCCATTGCATACATCATGACCATCAAGACTCTAGACCAGTGATGGTGAACCTTGGCATGTCAGCATTTTGAAAAACCCTAACTTAACTCTGGTGCCGTGTCACATATAGAAATTTTTTGATATTTGCAACCATAGTAAAACAAAGATTTATATTTTGATATTTATTTTATATATTTAAATGCCATTTAACAAAGAAAAATCAACCAAAGAAATGAGTTCTCGTGTCACCTCTGACACGCGTGTCATAGGTTCGCCATCACTGCTCTAGACTGTCCAATCCCTTCTTCCTTCTAATGACCACATCTACTTTTCTAATTCTCCGTGGAGAGGAACTTCAAATAGGACATCTGTCTGTATTGCCAGAAAGATGCAACTGTTAAAAAAAACTAGGATCTGGAAGGAAACTCAAGAGTTGTCTTTCAGGCACAGTGAATGATCCATCATTGAATAGTTTGACCTGTTGTCACATTGTGTTTTCTCAGAAATACTTTGCTACCTTTTTATCCTAAGTACTTTCACATGTCTTCTCTTATGGAGATCTGCTAGATTTTGTTTTGATGCTAAGCTGTGAGCTCTCCTTAAGGATCATCCTTTTGGAGACAGGTTTCCTCCTGAAGAGGACTGTGACAAGAAAGCTGTTGGCATGTAAGCGAGCAGAGCAGGACAGATGTTTTCCATTGCTCAAATGTGCTTTGTGGACTAGGAGGCCTCTGGGGCTTGGAGCAGCATCCGACTGTGCCTCCTGGGAGACAGGAAACGTCAGGGGCTCCTGTGGTTTGCACACAGCAGCTTGGACAGTGCCAGTGACAGGGCGACGGGTTCCCGAGAATGCATTTTTCATTTATTACTTTTTGAAGACAGACATGTTACCTCAAGACAGGAGATAGAATCTCACTAAAAAGTTCTGGCCATTTGCTTTTGGTGCGCTTCCTCTTGGAGTAATCTGCTCACTGAATTATTTTAAAAGTAGTGTTTGTTATTAATCAATCTAAGGATTAGTGTAGAGAGGAATGTGAAAAAAACTCTAAGCCGATTTAATAAAACAAAGATTTTAATGATATTTAGGCACCTGGAGATAACCATTCTGGAACTTGCTTTACCAAACACTTAAAGGTACAGATAACTTTGGAAATAAGCTAATTTTAATGAGCTTTTGTCAACCTGTCTGCCACCACCTGAGATGAAAGTTAAGAGTACCTTACTCTTCTCCTTTTTCTTGCCATGTGAAAGTTAAGAGTACCTTAAAAAAAAAAAAAAAGAGTACCTTACTCTTCTCCTTTTTCTTGCCATTTTATTGAGATATAATTGACATACCACAGCATATAAGTTTAAGGTATACAGTATAATGGCTTGACTAACATATATTGCCAAACAATTCCCACAATTAATTTTGTTAACATTTATCACCTCATATAGTTACCAAAAAATGTTTTCTTCTTTGTGATGAGTACTTTTCCCTCTTCTCCTTTTGAGTAATCACTTTGTCTACAGTGGAAAACCCTCACACTTGCATCCTTGTCTGGTTGCAAGATGTTTCTAAGAAGAGATCTACAAAAAAAGGCAGATGCAAAGTTCCTATCCTCTCTCCCCTTTCTCTGTGTCTATCTATTACTGTAGAGATGGCATACTTGGGGATGCACATACATGTTGTAATGGGCTTATTAAATAATGTCACTCCGAGTGGAATCCTATCCATTACAATAAAAATATCCCAAAGAGATTAAAATTAAAGCTTTCGCTTTCCCTATAAAGCTAAAGATATTTAGTGGCCACCACACCCATGGCTCTCTATTGGTTTTCTTTATTTTGATATGAGGTCTACATCCACACCCCATTCTATCACAAACCAGAGTTTTAGAATTCCTTTTAAAGATTTTGCTTTTTATAAATAAACACACAGTAATTTTCTAGATGGTATGTATTGCTACATATTATTATTAAATATACCGTTATTATTAAATATTAAATATACAGTTATTATTAAATATACCTATTGTGAAACTTTGAGTTATACAGATTCTTATAATTGCCACTATTACCTGTCTTTATGGTTTTGAAGATTGTTCGATTTTTGTTTTCTCTTAATGCTTTGCTTCCACCAGTGGGAGAGATATTTTTAAACCATGTTGGAAGTTGAAATCTGATATGAAATGTTGACCCAACAGGATGCCGGCCTTCTTGAGGCTTTCCTGCTAGGATTACATGTCAGTGATTTTGGAATGCCATGCACTGTTACAGAAATTCCTCAGGCCCTACCACAAGCACCTAAGTACTAGGACAATGTGATTCATTGTCTGTGGTAAAAAGGTCACAGCTGTTTTATTAGTCAATAAGATACAGATTTCAGGTGGCAATTAGAAAGCTAAATGTCACAGCTTGGAAGGGCTGCATCCTTGTTCTAGTCAACCTGAGATACTTGTCACTTCTCAATCATTTAGTCCCCTTAAGGTGCAAGCAGCAAGTGGGGTACAGAGTAAAGAATATTAATAAAAGAACACAATATGATGCCTATCTTCTTAAAGTTATTTTCAGGATTTTTAAATAAATTAAATGAACTTAATGAGATACAATAAATTTTAATAGTTTTTCATTTGAATATTTCTTTTAATGATTAGTGAGTAATCGTAAATAATTTACTTATCTGACCTGCTTTTAATTTCTAATTGTGAAATTATAGAAGAATTGACTTACTGATGAAAAAATTATACCTTTTTTAAAGAGTAATGAAACTTAAATATACCAGCATTCCTTGACATACAGTAAGACTGGTCTCTACTTAGTGATACACAAGATAATTAACCTGAATTTTTGAAATTTGCTATTTGCAATTCACTATATTTTTTTTCTTAAAATAACAACCAGTGATATTTTGGCTGTGTGTATGATCAACATTCCCTTTTCCCTGAGCATGTATATATATAAAAGCCAAATATGCAAAGTGTCCCCTCAGGAGTTCAACCAGAGAGGAGGAGTTTCATTGCTCACTATAACATTCACTGACCACTAGGGGGAGGCACGGAATGAAAGAAGGCCCCAGCTGGCAGCCAGGGAAGGGAGGCCCCGGCTGGCAGCCAAAAGGAAGGCCCTCGATTGGCCCTGATCACCGGCCAGGTTTAGGGACCATACCCATGCACGAATGTCATGGACTGGGCCTCTAGTTTGGCATAATTGTTCAGGGGTAGTAAGCATGCCTTCTCTCACTTAATTTCTTGACTTTCTCGTTTCTTGCTTAGGAACTCATTTTTTATGACATAATTTTATGAATGATGGCCAGGGCCTTGTTTCATTTCACTAAAGGCTATTTTCCAAATAGTGTCTTAAACATTATATAGAAAGAAGATCCTATAAGATGTAAGTAGTGTGCTAACACAAAAAGCAAAATGTGAATTAACTTAATATTAGGTGTCTCATTTTAAATCACTGGGGGAGGGGATCATAGAAATAATTAAGCCTGTTTTGCTCTGATAATTAACTTTGTGGGACATTTAGTGAGATTGAGCCACATGTGATGTGCCCTTGCTTTTTTCCACCTTGTGTTGGAAAGAAAGAAATAAGCATGAAAGCTCACTTGCAGATGACTCTAGCAGTAGGACCCAATAGTATGGTAGAGATTCCAGAGACAGTTGTAGATGTTTTCACTTGGAGATGGGAGAGATATGGAGTTTGTAATGAAAGGCAGCAGCATGCCCAAGAGATCCCTGAGGAAGAGGTCAAAGTCTTGCCTAGTTTCTAGGTTTCTGCCTTGTAAAGAAGTAACTACAATCTCTGTGGACCACAGTTGCCTCATCTGTATAACCTTAGCTATTTCATTTTAGAAATATATGAATTTATAAATTCTGTGAGTTAGTCTAAGAGCCCAACTGCTGAGATTCTGTGGGGAAATGCAGAGTTCCTACTAACCTATCAAAAGGCTGAAGTTAGAATCCAGATAGGACTGGAGGCGGAAACATTAGACCTGGGGCTGGTTCATGAACTGGGAAATTCTGGAATTCAAGTGTGAACATCTCTTTTCTGTGTCGATTGATTGCAGACCCCAGAGGGCATGAGTGAGGAACAAAGGATTCAGGAGCTGGCTGCAATGGAGGAGGCCCGGATAACAATTCTGAACAACCTCGAGGAACTTGAACAAAAAATCAAAGACATAAATGACCAGATGGATGAATCTTCCAGAGAGGTATAAGCCATGAGTTAATTTTTTACTCTCTCCCTGCTTTTCTTTCTTTTGTTTTTAGCTTTAAAATATTGTTGCCCATTAGGACACAGGCATTGGAATACAGAGAAGTCAACATGAGCAAACATTTGTTCAGTGGGTACAGATGCAGGATAAAAATGCCTTTTTTGTTTTACATTTCTCTTTTCCTCCTTTTTTTAATAAACAGAGGTAAACATATTCAGCCATTTTTCATTTACTTTATGTATAACTGAATTTATCTTAATTAGTACAGCAGGCTCTCTAATAACTTATTTTGTTCAACTTTGTTACGTTCTAACGTTAATGAGACACTGTAGGAACTTAACTTTTGTTTATATCAACTGGCCTATAGTAAAATTCGGTTTCATTATACATCGTTTCACCACAACTACAAGAACCTTTCAATGTTGTTAAGCTTACTGTATATGCTTTCTAACTTGCTACAAGACTGTGACCCAAAGTACCATGAATTTAGGTGTTCAAGTTCAAACCCAATAAATATTTTTGGTGCATGCTTACTGTGAGATGGATATCATGTTGATACTCTAGCAGGGATTTACATATGAACTGAACATGGACTTAGCTTCCTAGAGGTTTGCAAACCAAGAAGGAGAGAGACACAGACAGACTGTAATTCTGGTTATAGAATTATAAGTATAACTGAAGAGATGGAACATTTTTATATTACCTCCATGGAGTGAGAAAGAGCAAATAGTTCTGCCTAGGCAGGATCTGCATGTTTGCACTCACAGATGATGCAGACAGCCCCATAGTGGAAGGGTACTGTTCACCTGTCAGCTTGCACACAAACCCTGGAAGCCCCTCCTGCTGGCATTGCTAAGGAATGCAGTGTATGCATGCTGGCTGAGTGCAATTTTTGCTTCCCATGCTCTAGGGACAAACAAAGAAAGGCATGATCGCTCCCTAGATGGTTCATGGTGGAGCCTGAAACTAAGCAGATAGGCAAAATATTCAGAGAAATAAGCAGAAAAAGGGTCATCATAGAAAAATTAAAAAACTAGTTTTCTTATATTCTAGGAAGATAGAATATATTTCTATAGGACTCCTAAGCCTCTCATGGGCTCTCTGAAATAGTCTCTGGGCCCCACAATCTGGCTGATACAGTAGTTACTTCTTGGAATTTGTAGCTGTTAAAGATGAACCCCTAAAGTGGGCAGCTGAGAGTTCCCCTAAAGGTGAAACACCTCTGGGCTTTGTTTTGTGTCCGCAGTTGGATATGGAATGTGCTCTTTTGGAAGGGGAGCAGAAATCTGAAACAGCTGAACTGATGAAAGAAAAGGAGATTTTGGATCACATAAACCGGAAGATAGCAGAACTGGAAAAGAACATTGTTGGTGAAAAGACCAAGGTAAAAGAAAATGCTAATTTGAATGCAATTTTCATGGGAAAAAATGGTGGTCCCATTTGGTTGAATCTAAATGTTGTATGAATTACCATGGTTTTCCACCAGTCTTTCTCCTCTTCTGATTCTACTGTGTTTTTTAGAGAATTATTTTAGCATACTGACCTTCTTTACCACTGGTGCCCTATAGAAATGGCTTAAGCATATTCAAATATGATTGCCTCATTTCTTTTCATTTTTCTGTTTATCGAAAAGATGAATGGGAGCCATTCATCTCCCCTGTCTTGCCTTGCCATGCTCTTCAATGCAAGTGCACTGCTTCTTGAAAGACACATTGCAGTTTTCAGAAGATCCTCACACACTACCCAGGGAATCCTGTCTGTGAAACACAGTTGACACTTATCCTAGAAAAGGTCTTGCTTATACTTTTGAGGCCACGACCTAAACGTTTGTTTACATTTACTAGGGAAAGTATGAAAAGTTGTAGTTTTTAGAATCCCAGGTGGTAGTTGTGTTTTCTGTTTGTCTGTTTATTTTTCTCTGGGAAATAGTTTATTTACTCTCCTCTCACATTCTGAGTTAGTGACAGCTGACCTAAGCCTAAACTGAAAATTAAAATTCTAGTTTGAGAAAGAAAAAGCAGAACGAGCTTTAACATATTCTTTCTTGATCTCCATGTTCTCCACTAAGTTGAGAAAAAGAAAAAATGTTCAGTTTGAGTAAGTTCTACTGGTAATATGTGGAAAGGATTTTCTGCTGAATGTGGCTTCCTTTTTATAGGTTCTTCTTTGTTCGAGACCTATAAATAAGAGCATTTGATCTTGGTGCCAGAAAATAAGCTCAAAAAGATACTGTCAGAAATTGAAGTCAGATTAAAAGCTACACATCAATATCTTGGTTTCCTGCTTGTCAAGATTAAACTGCACAGCTTTTTCGTATTAAATTTTATGTGTGTGTCGTCTAGCCCCAGACTTTGAAATAATAAAGAACCCATTTGGGTAATAGGTATATTTTTCTTTCAAAGCTCAAAACCAAGTCAGAGGGTTTATTGTCTAGTTGTGCAGTATGAGAAGATAATGCTTTTCAAAGATCCTGCACTGAGATAGCAAGAAACTTTCCTTGGAGGCATCAGATGTCTGCGTTTTGGGACTTACTACTATTTTATCATTTATGTCATTTCGGAAAACATATGGGGCATAGGAATAGGTATCAAGTTCCTAGTGAACCTTTCTGCCTTCCCATTCCTGTAGTTACTTATCTTTGTATAGCCCATGCATGGCATGGCCTACAAATTCTATTTGTCTCTGTCATTAACAACAGATTCTACACAAAAGTGAAGTAAGCTGAGTCAGTGCTGAATCTCACTTCCACTGAAAGTTGTGTTATGTTCTGCAAACCTAAGGCAGTGTGGAACTCCAGGAACATGAGCAGGAGCAAGCAAGGGGGTGCCCTCCATCCTTCCTATTATTGTTTTGGTGGCTTATAGAGGCTATGCATACAAGTGGGAGCCTGAAGTATAGGATCAGCTCATGCAGCTGTTAAGGGATTAGTTGGTCTTAGAAGGTGGGATTATTATCTGTCATCACATGGTGTGAAAAATGGCAGAAACTAGCTTTGGGTGAGGGGTTCCAGAGGAGGTTGAGGGAAGTGAAAACCGACTGGGCTAGATGATGCTACTACATATTCTTGACAACCAAACTCAAATGGAGACCCTGTCTGGCTTGGTGGCATTACTGTGTTTCTCAAACAAACTTATTCCACCATTATAGTATGGCGATTTTGTACCTTTGCTTTGTTCAAACCTTTGGTCCCCTTTTCTCCCTCTGGCTTTGAGATGCTCTAATTACCCACTGCACTGAGAAATGAGAAGCATCCCATCTATTCCCAGCTAAGGAAGATTCTTTCTTCCCTTCAAAGACCAGAGCCTTCGTATATGCTATGGGCCTCATGCCATTCACCTCAACATCTTCAGTCCTATATCCCTCTTCACCGTCTTCTTTCTCTTTACTGGGCCTTTACTGTCAGCATGCCGACATCAGTATTTTAAAAAGTTATTACTTAAAACTAAACATTCTACTAGCTAATACCTCATTTCACTTCTCTTTATCATAGGCAAACTTTTTTCGTTGTTCTAGCACTCTGTGTGGCCTCTTCCTGCTTACCCATTCCTCATTCCAGTTGGCTGAGGCTCCCACTACTCCATCAGATTTGCTCCTGTTAAAACTACTGAAGACGTAGGTGCTGCCCAGCTCATGGGTGCTTTTCAGTCCTCTTGTGGTTAGACTCCTGAGGAGCATTCAAGACAGGGGACAACTTTTTCTTGGCACTTCCCTTCTCTCCCACCTCTTTGCTTCCCATACCATGTTCTTCTGGCTTTCATTTTTATCTCTTACTCATCTTTCTGACTTTTCCATCTCAGTTTCCTTTGCTTGCTCCTCTGTCTCTATCTAACCAGGTGTTAAGAGTATTTGTCTCTGATCTGAACCCTTTTTTTTGTATCCTCACATTATTTTATAGCCATGGCTTCCAAAAACCTGTATGTGCTGGTTGCTGTCTCATGTTTGTCTTTAGTCTACCATCCTTTTCTGAACTTCTGACTCATATCCTGTGGCCCACCTGACATCTACACTCAGATATTGTCAACTGGACACCCTGTAACTGAATTCTTGATCTTATCCTTCCCCTTGCCTTCCACATCCTCTCCCTTTCCAATCCTATTCTTCCTCTGGTGGCATCTCTGTCCACCCCGATCTTTATAGAGAAACCTGGGAGTAGATCTGACACTTCTTCTCCATCACTCCCACATCGTTGATTATGAACACATCTCTCAATTACTTCAACTTCTCTGCATCTCAACTAACAGTGTTTTCTTCTGAGTCTTCAAAATATCTTCCTTGGTCCCATTTCCATTTGCTTTCCTTTAGCCCATTCTTTCCACAGCATCCCGAGTGACTCTTAAAAATATATATAAATTAGCTCATATCGCTCAGGTTTGTGTTCCGCTGCATTTTATATAAATCTGAATTCCTTACTTGTCATGTGCGTTTCTGTCACCACCCTCCCCTTCTTCACACCACTCTCACGGTGGTCTTCTTTCTATTTGTTTAAAGATCTATTCCCCTACCCACCCCCACAAAAGGTCCCTTGTGGATCAGTTTGCCCTGCATGGATTCCCTTCCTCATATTCCATGTCCGTTGTTTACATCTTTCAGGGCTTAGGTTCAGTGTTAGTATTTCCAAAAAGCCCTTAAAGACCTCTCCAGTTCAGATTATGTTCTCCCTGTTGTTGTTTTAGTCCTTTTATGAATAACACATGATCATTTACATTTGTTCTGGGCTTGCTAGATATTTATTTTCCTCTCTGGCCTGTGAAATAGAGGAAGGCAGTGTTTTAGACTGTTCGCTGAGCTTGTAGTGAGTGCCAGCATACCACCCAGTATTCTTTGAGATTGTTCATAGATCTCCTGCTAAGGACGAGTCTAGGTTGGGCCTTTCCAGAGGCACTGAGCCAAACACCTGCCCAAGAGCAAAGCAGCCAAGTGTCAGGACAGCTGGGACAGGCGGCCCAACTGCACATGCCAATGGGCTTGTAATCACACTGCCAGTCAAACCGGAGCGTAAGACAGAAGGAGGAAGTGGCCTTTGCTCTTTTGAATTCTCATTTCCTTTTCCATACACCTGTTGCTGCTATCAGATATAAACTGTGGAATGAGTAAACCAAAACCTGAAAACATATCCCTGTTGGGCAAGCTCCGATTCAGATGTTGATAGCACATCCTGTAGGCCTGGCTCTAGGCAGAAGGTTTAGCAACACCTCAGAGTTCAAATCCCGCTGTGAAATTACTGACCCTGTCTCCTTGGCTCTCAAGACCAGTCTTTAGTATTATTTCTTTTAACTGATTTGGGAACTGTCATTTAATTTGATATATTTAGTATAAATTAACATAGATTATTATTATTTATTAATAAACATAAATGTAACATAAAATGTAGACGATGTATTCAGTTATATACGTATTGAACATCTGCTCAGCAGCTCTCTGGGCCAACCTTCCACTGCCCTTCTGGGCACCACTGTCAAGAGCATCAGTAAGCTTGTTTCCATGTCACTCTGAGCTAATGCCACCTGCCTGCCATGTTCAGACAGCGGTCCCATCACAGACGGAGTCTCTATGAGTCAGATAAATCCTGAGCAGATATAAGTATCCGACTCACACATCAACTCAGAGGGGATGTTTAGTTGACGAAGCAGTAAGCAAAGAGGCCATCATGTTTTGGGGGGATGGGAGAAAGGAGAGAGGATTGTTCATCTCTGCTCTAGTAAACTGCTTTACTTTACTGGGGTTGGTGACCGAGAGTGGGGAGGCCACCGGACTGTGGGAGCTCAGTTTGGGCAAAAGCCTTGTGCGGAGCCGGCTTCCCTTCCTTCTACTGCCTTCAGTCAAGGCAAAGTCCCATTTGGGCAGCTGCTGAGAAGGTATGGGCATATATCTTTGTTTAAGAAGATTTTTCTTCTGTGTTTTCTTAATGATCCTCACTCAGGTAGATTATGATATTCTGTAGCCATACAGACCTGCACATTTTATAGCCAAATAATCTTAAAGTTGTGAACTGAAGCTTAAATCACTCTATGCCATACAACATGCTCCTGAGTGAAATCTCAAATTAACGGACTGATTTTTCTACAATAAGCACATATCACTGTATTTCAAATGGTTAAATTTTACTGCCCATTATTATCTTGCCAAAGTACCTGTTACTTCCTCCCCATCCTTCCTGCAGAGCCAGGGGAAGACCATGAGCCAGGCCCCGAATTCCTTAGCAAAGTGTTAATGCCTCTTGAGTGCAGAGCATTGGCCAAATCGCAGTCCATGTTCAGAGGTACCCAGCGCTTCCCGTGCTTTTTTCTTACATTTCAAAGTTAGCTCCCTGGTTAGAGGATGTGGAAATATATCAAGGATTTGCGGATTAAATCAACAGGATTCCAGATTAGGGTATTTTTTTCT